CTCATCGCCTCCACCGAGTCGATCTTCCGCCCCTCCAGGAGCAGGCTGGCCTCGCAGAGGTTCGGCGTGATGATCGTCGCGATCGGGAAGAGGTGCTTCTTCACGCTGTCCACCGCGTCGTCCTCCAAGAGCTGGTGCCCACTCGTGGAGACCATGACGGGATCGACCACCAGCCTCCTTCGCCACCGCTCGACCGAGCTGGTTCTGTCCGCCAGACCCTCAACGACAGACTTCACGATGGCCGACGTGGCCAGCATGCCGGTTTTCACGACGTCGGCGCCCAGATCGTCCAGCACAGATCTCATCTGCTGCTGCACGAACTCGACTGGGATCGGGTAGATGCCCTGCACGCCAGCGGAGTTCTGGGCCTGAGTATCGTCTTTAACCGATCCCCATCCCCAGCGGCGCGGCCTGGGCCCCACTGGCCGATTTACACCCCTAGATGGGGATGTAGGTCTTTCCCTTCGGGTTTCGAGGGGTGTATGCCCCACTGGGGGGGTCATTTGGTGGGGGCCTCGAAGGGGATGGGGATGGGGATGGGGGTCGGTTAAACGATACTGAGGGCCGTCAGCGCCGCGATCGCCGTCGTGCTGAAAGCCCCCAGCGCGGCGCAGGCTTTCACGTCCGCTTGTATGCCGGCCCCGCCACCTGCCACTGCCCCCTTCCCCCCAGACACCCGAAGATTCGCGACCCCAGATGTCCCGTCCCGACCCCTTCCCCGTGGGCAGTTTTCTCCCCGCGGATGGATGATTGTATGGCCTCGGGGCCGTCCACCTCCTCCTCCTCCTCCTCTTCCTCCTCCTCCTTTTCCTCCTCATCTCCCTCCTTCTCCTCCCCCTCCTCCTCCTCCTCCTCCTCCTCCTCCTCCTCCTCCTCCTGCTCGTGCCAGCACGGCCACCGCTGTCCGACCCCGCGATGATGAGCACCCGCGGGGGCACGATCCGCGCCGCGCGCAGCAGCGCCCGCCGCTGCGCCTCCTGGCCCGTGCCCTCGAGGCCGAACTGGCCGAAGAAGGCCAGCTCGTGCTCCATGGCCTGCACGTACAGGCCCTCCACCTCAGCCAGCAGCTCGGCCTCGCCCTCGTCGGGCGTTGCCTCGGAGGCCCCTCCTCCTCTCCACCTCCCCCCTCCACCCGTCCTCGTGTACCCCCTCCTCCCCCCCACCCTCTTCTTCTTCCTCCATAATTATCCTCCTCCTCCTCCTCCTCCTCCTCCTCCTCCTCCTGCTCCCCCTTCCATCCCTTTTTTACCTAACAGCGAAGACTGATAGGTTTCTAGTGGGGTCAAAAGAGAGCATCATGACTCCTCAGGGGGGTCGGGGCGGGACCCGGGGCGGCTGCCGTCGAAGCCCAAATCGCCTGGGACATCCTCGCAAAATCGCAAGTGGCGCTGCTAGACCTCCATTACCGGCGTACATTTTGGATGCCCGGAACCAACTGTAGGCCACTTCGTGGTCTTCGAGTTCCCAGAACTCCACTCCCGGGCCACATTTTGAATGCCCGGAGCCAACTGTAAGCCACTTCGTGCTCTTCGAGATCCCAGAACACCATTCCCGGGCCACATTTTGAATGCCCGGAGCCAAGTGTAGGCCACTTCGTGGTCTTCGAGTTCCCAGAACACAATTCCCGGGCCACATTTTGAATGCCCGGAGCCAACTGCAGGCCACTTCGTGCTCTTCGAGCTCCCAGAACTCCAGTCCCGGGCCACATTTTGAATGCCCGGAGCCAACTGTAAGCCACTTCGTGCTCTTCGAGATCCCAGAACCTCATTCCCGGGCCACATTTTGAATGCCCGGAGCCAACTGGGGCTGAGGCAGGCTGCTGCTGAGGCAGGCTGAGGCTGGGGCTGAGGCAAGCTGAGGCTGAGGCAGGCTGAGGCTGAGGCTGAGGTTGAGGCTGAGGCTGAGGCTGAGGCAGACTGAGGCAGACGCTGAGGCAGGCTGATGCTAAGGCAGGCTGAGGCTGAGGCTGAGGCTGATGCAGGCTGAGGCTGAGGCTGAGGCTAAGGTTGAGGCTGAAGGCAGACTGAGGCTGAGGCTGAAGCAGGCTGAGGCTGAGGCTGAGGCAGGCTGAGGCTGAGGCTTAGGCAAGCTGATACTGAGGCAGACTGAGGCTGAGGCTGAGGCAGGCTGAGGCTGAGGCAGGCTGAGGCTGAGGCAGGC